CGTACGAACCCTTTGTACGAACAAAAGTAAGAGAAATTTAGAATAAGAATACGAACATGTTCTTGCATGAGGCCCAATCATTGGGTTTTTAGTTCTACAAAAGTAAAGTCGTAAACAGATGGATAGCAGGGAGTGGTTACCATGACTCAGCGTTGAAGGAATTATCGTCAGTTGAATACCTTGTCAACAATAATAGTTTTGGGATGGTTGCAACAAAGTATCTGTTGTTCAGACTTTTCTTTTTACCAAATATTACTGTTTTGTTTTGTACATAAAACCATGTATTCAAGTAACCTTTAAGCATAAGGAGTCAGATTTCTTTTGGAACATTTTGACATTTTTAGTTAGTATTTATGTTCACTGCAGCGTGTAAAATAATAACATTACTTAGACGTTCCTTTTTCCAGTCAAGTGAAACACAAATCTGCTACTAAACTTCCTGCTGTGGATGAAATAAAAAATATGAACTCTTCTTTTATGGATCAATTTTCTTGCAGTCTGAAAATTGCCTCATCGTCAAACACAGCAGCTGCACTCTGATGAGCAAATCAACAAAAAGAAACTAACTGCAAACACTCCAAAGCACAGCAAACACACACCACTCCCTCAAACAGGAAAACTTGTTTCATTACATCTCTGAGTTATACATTTCCTAAACGAATAAAACTAAAAGTCCTTCCTAAACGAATAAAACTAAAAGTCCTGATGCATCTCAGTAATCCAGGTAGAAAAAAATGAAAAAGAAAACATAAGTAGGTCCTCTGGACGAGTTCCTCTTTAGTGAAACGTTTCGTCTCTCCTCCAAGAGACTTCTTCAGTCTGATGAGTTTGTTGTCAGGTGATGTGCCCCATCACCTGACAACAACACGGGTCAGGTGATGGGGGACATGACCCTCTATAAACAATAGAGCTAATCAAGCCCATTGTAAGGCGATGGCCCTCTTTTGCATGTGACTAACCTGTTTGTCCATGTAGAGGCAGTGCTTATAAGGCTGAGTTCACCTGAAACTCAGACTGAAGAAGTCTCTTGGAGGACAGACAAATTGTTTCACTAAAGAAGAACCCGTCCAGAGGACCTACTTATTTTTTTCTTTTTGAATAAAACTAAAGTTTTTCCTGTTATTATAGCAAGTATTTGTCATCTATGCTTCATCTCAWGACTCCTTCCCTCGTCTCGTTTCCACACGTTCTCCCACCTACCTGCGCCTCTTCCCCCCGCTGCTGGAGGCCGGTTTGGGGGTCCTGGTGGAGACGATCTGACAGTGGACGGTTCCCAGCAACAGCATGAGCCAGATGGCTCCGAACACCTCTGTGGCCGGTATCCCATGAGGCTGAGGGATGGTGACGTACAGCACTGCTGCTGCCACTGTGAGGAAGACAAACGACAGCGTAAACACCTGCATGTGTTTCTGAATCGTTGCCACAGGCCTGAAAGTTAGAAAATTTGGACTTAATTTGTGTGATGTGTGTGGAATAAACAAGTTAGGCCTGTCGGGGCGTGTTTGTTTTGCGCTCTGGAGGAAATGAGTGTACAGGAAGGGTGGAGGAAACGATGAAAAGTAAAAGTGTTTTTTATTCAGGTGGTGGAAAACATTGATGTTTGTTTAGTGAGAGCTCTGTTGGCAGGAACATGTGAACTGTAAGGATAAAAACAGCAGACAGCCTGTAATAATTCAGGGCCTGAGAGGCTCMGAGCTGTGGGCGGTCCTACCTTGCAGCAGGTAGAGCGCCAACAGGAGGAGGAAAATGCCTCTGGAGGTGACCTGGATCCACCACCGGTAAAAGAAGGGGAAGAAGACGACCCTGACGATGCCCTTCCTGGTCAGCGACGTCCACGGACTCTCTGGTTTGGCCTTGGCAAACGCTGACCCTGAAAAACGACACAAAATGACCTGATTTCGTCTCCGCGGATCACTTTTCTCCTCATCTCCTTTCTTTTTCCACTCTCTGTCCCGATCCTCTTTCTCACCGCCAGGATAGGGTTTCTGCTCTGATGAATAATTGACGGAGGAGAGCGACGGTGGAGATGAGAGAAACGACGATGAGATGACACGGCACCAGATTGTTGCGGCAAAATGATGCAGCACAATCATTAAAYGAGTTTTGATTTAGCAGAGAATTTGTCGGGTTAAAGGAGGACCATTCAAACACTTCATTTATGCAGCCTAACCCTGAATATAGGGTCCAATCAAATTTTGTTAAGAAGGAAAGCTGCAATAATTTGAAGGGATTACAAATGTTTGTTAAACCAAAAATCTGAACAAATTTGAAGGACAGATGCACTTCAATAAAAAGGTATAAGACTATGGAATAATCTGGAAWWTTWTTATAAAAAGCATTGGCTCAATTAATGCCTTTAAAATGATCAAAGCAAAATTGTTAAAGAAATATGAAATTCAACCCATCTCTGGATTTTGACACCTTAACAGGAACATGCATGTAGACAGAGGTGTGAAGTGAAATAATGTGCACGGCCAATGCAGTTTTGCAAGTTGCGCATAAAAATATACGAGCTGCGATTTTCAAAACTGGTTGCAAACTAAGAATTTAATGAGATTAATGGAAAATGTGCCCATTTTCTTGTAATCGTTTAGCCTTTAACCTAAACTAACCTGAAAATGTTCCACAGTATTAAGACCGTACTTTGGTTGCCACCAGAATTGACCTTATAGGTGATGATGCCAGAAAAGGTCCTAAAAATGTAACAAAACCTTACCTCTAACTAAGTCCACGTCTATAAGATCTGGTTTGACATGTCCYGTCTTCTTTGGCTTGTTTCTCAAGCCCTGTAGGGAGAGACAGATGTAGGTCAACAACACAAAGCTCCAGAAATGAAAGCTTTTTATGAGTGGGCACACCGTGCAGTCACACATCTACAGGCTTCACTCTGTTTAACAGCTTTGTGCATCTACACCTACGAGGCTGACATCTACCTCCAGCATCTACTCAGCAGATTTCTGTGGAACCTGAAGGTCTCAGACCTTCAAAACCAGCCGTCATTTCATTTCTCCCGACAGCTGGTGCTTTGTTCGTTTCATGAGCCTGTGAAGAAGTTCCTTCCTGCATCAGTTTTCACTTCCTCGTGTGATGCAGGCTGTTTGTGGCGAGAAAATATGCTGCACTGCAGCTTTGTGAGCACTAAATTATGAAAATGAGGGTTTTTTTTCTTGTGTAAAGCCGCGTTGCGTGGTTTAAATATTTGCATGAGGTTGAAGGGCCCGATGCTCAAACATTCAACACAAGAATGTGTGTTTAACTGGTGAGAGTTGGCTGGGTTCAAGGGCTGAAATGACTCACCGACTAGCTAAAAAAAACTTTGCGGTTACCAGTTTGTTTCATCCGCAAAGCAGTGGCCACCATGTTTCATATAAACATTTACTGTCACATAAAGTTTTAGCAACAGCAATAACTAGGAAAAAATTATTTTATAAAAAACAGCTCTAAAATCTGGAAATATTTTGCACAAACCAGTTTATTTATTGTAAAACTAAACAGCATGTCATCAACCTGCAAACTAATGTTTTACCACAAATCAGGGAAAAATGAAATAAAAACAACTTTTATTGTGCAAAAGAAAAAAAGGGAGTATTTATTAGATCAAAAACAGTTTCTGTCGTGGTTTTGCCAAGTTTTTTATTTGCTAGTTTTAAAGTCTCGGTGATTTGCGATGTTCCTCACCGTTGTGTTGTTTAATCTGACAAACAGAAGAGCTCTCTCCAACAAATCAACACCAACGTGCAACAGCTTCACTCCTCAGACCCCCACACTGTTAAAACCCCTCTAACGCCAGACTGAGCAAATAAAAACAACTCCTGCAGTGTCTCTGAAGAGCTGGACTCGTGTTTCCTGCTGGCTCTCACTAATATTTACCCAGGCCAATCAAGTTGTGTTATCAGTTAACACTCTGATTTGAAGCCCTTTATCTTTAAATGGCACGGCCAACAAGCTGATACACTTTGTGAGAGCGTTTGTTCAGAAAAAGGAGACATGTCAGGATGAACACGAGCACTGGGGCTAAAAGCAGAGGATCAATAGTTCCCTCTGGGCTGTAGATTTATTGCAGCAGTGAAGTCCTTCAGAAAGATGGCCGTCCTCTCTGGACTATTTATAGCCTCTCAAGTAGAAGCTGCTGGTGGAACATTAAAGATACTCGCTGCAAAGTCATTGAGTCATAAAGAAACAAACAAAATTTGCACAATATTCCTCTTTTATTGATGGTTTATGTGTCATTATGTTAATTAATAAGAAGCTACTTTTGTACCTGTTTAACGGGACTGAAACAACAGTTGGCATTTTGAAATGAGACATTTTTAATGTATTTAAGCACAAATCTGTTATTCTAAAGAACAGACAACAGCTGTGTTTATATATATATTTTAATATTATAATAAATATCTTTTTTTTTAATTTGGAAAAGTTGAACTGCATCTTGTCCTCTAATAAAAGCTGCTTATTACACCATCTGTCCTGTACAGAATAAGATAATGTCCTTCCTGTTTGCACCAGCAGGGGGCGATCTCTTTTCTTTCCCCCACTTCTGGGATTTTTTATTATTATTATAGAATAAAGTTTGCTATTTATTACTTTTACAAAGACTACAACTTAATCTTTTTGTATGGTTTTATTGCCAATTAGGAAGCAAATTAAAACAAAAAAGGTCATCGGGCAGCATAACTTATTATGAAGACACTGGTGGAAAGTGCTAAAAATAGAGCTACAGTAAAATGACACATCAAAGAGTTAATCTTGTTTTATGAGAGACTGTTTTAGGTTTTATGAGTCCATATAAAGTAGGAGTGAGGGGGACTCGCACCTTATCTCTGCAGCACTGATAATCTGCAGAGAAACGTTTTACTTGGCCAAAGCGAGCCAAGGTCACACAGCTGTGACTTCATTAATGTTCTCGCCCTCTCCGCTCACAGGATGAGGTGGCACCGTGAAACTGAAGTGGAGGTGAGGCACAATCCCCCAACTAAACACACCTTTGTCAACATGAATTACTTGCAACAATTAAAGCAGCTTATTTTAAAGGCGTGCGTCAAAGTTTGAACACAAACGTGACTATCTGGAAACAAAAACAGAAACTAACCTCTAATTTAAACTCTTTAAATGAGGTCATGATGCAGAATATAACCTCAAATCTAGTATTTAGTGTAGTTAGTTTAGTGTAAATTGGTGCTTATTAAACAAAACAATCTTTATGCATTTGGTTAAATAAAACGTCACGAGAAGTCTGTATTTTTCCAGAYGACCTCAATTTACAAGTTTCTTTTTCCTGCAACAAAAGTTGCAGCGTTCATAACCCAGGCCGGGGTTAGTAAACACAACTAACGTCAAACCAACCAACCACGAGCTAAGTGTCTACAGGGTGAGCAGACATGCACTGTGGGAAACAGGAGGATCAACCTCCCTGCTTCGTACTCACCAGAGAAATAAACTGCAGAGGAGGAGGAGGGRAAAATGGACAGAGGAGAATGAGAGGTGAAATGGGTAGGTGAGSACCCACAACCCAGAGAGCAAAGAGTTAAAAAGAAAAAATATGGGAAAATAACTGGATGGCACAGTGAGGCAACACAAATAGATTCAAAGAAAGATGAAGAAGTGAAAGAAAGGATAAAACAGTAATGGGAAGAAGAGTTTGAGAGAAAAAAACAGGAAAAACAAGAACGAACCAACTGACCTTTATTTCTCTTTGCTCCACTGATTTCTCCCATATCTGCTGATCGTAGGCGCCAATCTGAAAAAGACAGACGGTCACTTTATTTCTTCATCTTTTTAAGATTATCTAATGAGCCCAACAGTTGTTTCAGGACCCACAATGAGGTCCTAAACCCAACTTTGGGAACCACTCATTTAGCAGTCTCAATGCAAATCTGTACACATTAAATAATCTACTAACCTGGCATGACAATAAACCATCAGAACTATCAGTTACRAGAAAGAAAAATATTCTAAATGTGGCACAAAAAATCAATCAGTAATCTGAAAGGAAGGCACTTTTTTTCTGGATTAATGTAAAATAATTTACTTAACTGAATTATTGGAGCTACACATTTTCATAAGAAGAGTGTAATTTGTTGGTTTCTTGCCTCAGTTCACTCTTTTTTCCATTCAAATCTTGTTTCTTTTGATTTGACTAAAGKGTGAAACTAATGTTCAGCTGCAGTGCAGTCTGCAACAATCTCCTTTTTTAGATAAAACGATGCAGTCCTGAAGTTATTCCTCACAGACTGAGGAGGACCAGAAACATTTTTTTCAACAGATATATTTTACATGAAGTGAGCATAAATGWCTAATGGAGTTTAAAATATGCACTGAGGAAAATCTGTGGAGTTTAACGTGGAAACGATCTAAGACAGACAAAACAGTGTGAGATAACGATAGAGGGATTTARCTGCTCAACGTCACCCGGCCAAGGTCATCGATTGCTATTTTTATTCAAAGTATGTGTTTCAGAGACATGGGAACACTGAGTGACTGGAACTCAGCAGATCAGTGTCTYCAAGGCATCGAGTGTGGGTCACTCTGCACGTTTGTCAGTGGAAAGTCTGCATCTTTAATGAGAACTCATTAAAGATTGAAGGAAAGAGGAGAAATGCCAAAGACAAGAACACAAAGAGACAAACAGAAAAAAGTGTATTACAGTTTAAAGGAGCTTTAGTTTGAATATGAAACACTTTAAAAACACATGAACGTTGCACGAGATAATGAAATATCAGCCTCAGCTGAAGATGTGAGGGTTGTCCTCGAGTGACGAGGTTGGATAAGATTATGAACGGAGGTCATCAGAGGTGAGGACAGGTTGAACCACTGGGAGATAAAGTTAGAGAGGCCAGACTGACTGGTTTTGGTAGAAAGATGTTAAAGYTGCAGCTGACGGAACAAAGAAAGAGGAGGATCACTCCCTGTGGTCAATAAGGAAATACAGTATATATATATTTTTAAATAAAAACACATAACTAACTTTTAGGTATGATTCAGTGCTCACAGTGTAGTTGCTGCAAATGAGATGACATTTACTCAGTGTTTCTCTTGGAAATTGGTTTTATGTAACACCTACAACAGCACTCACTGTATGAGAAATTCCAGTCTGGATTTCGTGCGGCTCACGGTACTGAGACYGCATTGCTGAGAGTTACCAACGACGTCCTCATGGCTGCTGATACTGGTTCTCCTTCCCTTCTTCTCCTTTTGGACCTCACCGCAGCTTTCGACACTGGATCACAGTATCCTCCTCCACCGTYTTCAAGTGGAGGTCGGTCTCTGTGACACTGTCCTGGACTGGTTTAAATCATTCCTCTCCAATAGGCTGGAATATGTTAGCCTTGGCAGTGCCAAGTCCCGGACTGTCTGTGTTACCTGTGGGRTCCCTCAAGGGTCGGTTCTTGGGCCCCTGCTGTTTTCCCCTTACATGYTTCCTTTAGGTCAAATCATTAATCATCACAACATTTTCTTTTCACTGTTATGCCGATGATACACAGCTGTACATCAGGACTGGAGCATCATCATCACCACTGTCATCTCCATCTTCACTCACTGCCCTCACTWCTTGCCTGGAGGAGATAAGGGCATGGATGAGCCAGAACTTTCTTCAATTAAACTGCTCCAAAACCGAGGCCATACTGATCGGCACCCCTCATCAGGTTCAAACTTCAGCTATAACAGCTATATCCTTCTCTGGTCAAGACATCCCCCTCTCCACCTCTGTTATTAACCTTGGGGTGAGAATGGACTCTCATCTTACATTTGAAAATCACATCAAGCATCTGTTTAAAACCTGTTTTTTCCATCTACGTAATATCTCCAAACTTCACCCATCTCTCACTTTTGCTGATGCAGAGAAACTCGTCCATGCCTTTGTCTCCTCCAGACTCRACTACTGTAACTCTCTTTTTATCGGAATCCCTGGCAAAAACCTTCAGAAGCTTCAATACATTCAAAACAGTGCTGCCAGGATTTTTATTGAGAGCTCRTAAATCTGAACACATTTCAGCCATTCTCCATAACCTCCACTGGCTTCCTGTCACCTACAGAATTCAATATAAGACTGCTCTCATTACCCATCAATGTTTATACGGAACTGCACCAGATTATCTGAAGGACCTTATTGTCTCATATTCATCCATCCGCTCCCTCCGATCACAGAACAGTAACCTCCTCCACCTTCCACGGACTAAATTAAGGACCAAGGGAGATCGGGCATTCTGTGTGGCTGCTGCCCCCCGCCTCTGGAACACCCTCCCTGACTAACTGAGAGCACCGCAGTCATTGGATGACTTTAAAAAAAGGCTTGAAGACTTTTATTTTTAATCAAGCTTATTC